AGTTAACCACTTAAAGGCCATGGTGTTTCACCCCCTTCCTGGCCAGGCCATTTTTCAGTATTCAGCGCTGCGGTACTTTGACTGATGTTTATTCCGTCATGCAACGCTGTACTGAAATGAATTTCATACCATTTTTTGGGGACAGATAGAGCTTTCTTTTAGTGGTATTTAATCTCCTCTGGGGTCTTTATAACAAAAAAAGTACCCTAAATTTTGAAAAAAAAACATGTTTCCCTATAAAATGTTATGAAACATTTATTTTCACCCCAATTTTTTGGTATAATATAAAAGACGGGGTCACGTCGGGTAAATAGACACTAAACATGTCAACCTTTAAAATTGCGCGCGCCCGCGAAATCGCAGAAAACTTCCCGCAGCCAAAATTGGCCATAGGCGACGCTTTAAACGTATTTACCGCTCATCAGTTTAGTGTCATCAGTGATTGATGGCCCTAGAATTATTGTTCTCACTGCGACGTTCGCGGCGATATGTAACATGTGCTGCATAATGGGCGCAATCGTCGTTTTTGTACATAGGCGCACCCGACGCATGTTTGCGTGTGTATGTGGGGGGGCGGGGACTTTAAAACATTTTTTTGTGTTATTTTGTTTAATTATTATGTGTGAATATTTTTTTTAGCTTCTTTATTTTTTTTAATGCTGTAATTCTTTTTTAAACTTTTTTTTTTAGACTTAACTTTATTGCCATAACATAGGGGACAAAGGAATCCCCTATGTAATAGCCAATTCACCAAACAGGTCCTCTTTATGGAGACATCAGGGGTCTCCAAGACCTCTGATGTCACCTAAGGACCCCCAAGAAGCTGATGAAGCAGAGATCGGCTTCATCAGCTTCTCTCCGGTGTTCTGCACCGGAGAGTGATCGGCTTCCGTCCGGCCGTTCACGAACGGCCATGGACGGAAGGTAGTTAAACCAGTGGTTCACAACCTGTGTAACCTCAGGACCCACATTTAAAATTGGTCATTAAGTTGTGACCCAAATCGCAGTAGTGTGTGTTCTGGTGTGGGCGAACAAACTGCGGGTGGGAGGTGCATTTGGGGTGCCATTCAAATAAATGGCAACCTGACTCACCTGCCAAACCAGAATGCACGGTAGGTGCGATTGCATGGTACAGTGCATTTTTCGCACAGGACTCTAATTAACGCACTGTGCTAGTGTGAACAGGCACTCAAAAACACACAAAACGCAACCAGGGTCGGATTTACTCTCTCTGCTGCCCCAAGTCCAGACTCTGGAATGGATCCTCAGCCTGGGGTCCAGTGTGGGTTGCTGTACTGTGATGGAGCTCCATCCGTATGTGCATTGCTTGCACAGCCCCCTTGCATGCCCTGTAGAGGTGTCGTGAACCAGAATCCAACGTCACTCTGGTCCAGGCACCTCTACAGGGCATGCGTAGGAGCTGTAAGCAATGCACATATGGATGGAGCTCTCTCATGGCCATACCCCCAGTGCCCCCCACTTACTGATACTTGCTGCCAGGCAGCATATTTTGAATGGCTGCTCGGTGCGTGAACTGACAGTGCTGCGCTAGGGGGAGACTGAGGAACCTCTCACCTAGCGCAGTAGCAGGCACTGAACATGGGGTCGCGACACACTTTTGGGTCACAACCCACCAGTTTAGAACCATGGCATGAACCGGAGCTCTACACGGCCCCATCTCCCAAGACGTCTCAGCAGACTTTAACCGGCTTTCTCCCCACATGTCACTACCTAAACGAGTCCGCAGCTCATCCCCGCCGACCACGCACCGGGACATCTTACATTATTTCGGGCAGCAGCCGACTACCCTGCAGGCCGCGCCGGAATCCAACATGGCGCCCGGCCGCTCCAACACAGTAAGTCAGACACCCAACAAGCGGCAGCCTAAGCAAGTGCCTGGGGCACCTGACACAGGAGCATCACGGCCGGATGGTGACAGATCCCCGGTCCGGACTCCCAGCATGACACAGGGGGGTAACCCAATAAGTCCAACCCGCTGGGCAGCAGACCAGGTCCAGGAGGTAGGCAGTGAGCAGACATGGCGCTCACTCCTCCCCCAACTATCCACCAAAGCTGATCTGGATGAGATGGCAGCCAAGATAGTGCAGGCTCTGCGCTCTGAGGTGCATGAAATCAAACAGCAAGTTGTGTCTCTGGATGGCAAAGTTGCAGCAGTTGAAACCGTCACAGATGATCTCCTGTCACGCATGTCAGCAATAGAAACTGCACACTTAGCCACTCAGCAAAGACTGATTTCTCTCTACCTGAATCAAGACGACGCTGAAAATCGTAGCCGCCGTAACAATGTCAGATTAAAGGGGGTCCCCGAAGCCACTGCGGGCCCTGAACTGCGCTCCACAGTCACTGCCATACTTAATTTGTACCTGGACAAACCACCGGGGGACCCTATTGAGCTGGATCGTGTACATCGTGTGCAATCATTCCGCCCCCCTGACTCCACAGTGCCCAGGGACGTTTTGTGCAGGGTCCACTTCTTTTCGGTTAAAGAAGAGGTGATGCGGAAGGCCTGGACCAAGGGGCAACTAGACTTTGACGGTGCCCAGATACAGGTGATGCCTGATCTGTCACGGCACACTTTGAGGATGCGCAGGATGCTAAAACCACTGCTGGATGTTCTTCGCACAGCGGGAGCTTCATACCGCTGGGGCCATCCTTTTCACCTTATCATTCAACACCGTGACCAGTCCTTTGCGCTGCACTCCCCGGGTCAGCTCCCCGATATGTTCCGCTGGCTGGATGAGACCCCAATTGATCTCCCGAACTGTTTAGACTTTCCCTTGGGCCCGGCAGACATGGCTCCCCGTGCTCAACGTCAGATGCGCCAGCCAAGGGGAAAGCGCCGCTACCCACTACGTTCTGCCTCGGTGCCTGCACCCACGAGCCACGAGGTGTAAAGACGAGAGGCCTCAAGAGATCCAAGGATTCTCTACGTGAACGCACCCCCTGTTTGGGTTATGGAAACCTGTGGCCCTTGCTCCCGGGTGGACTCGGCCCAGGCTCGGCCCGTTGGACACGGCCTCCTCAGAGACCTCCACTGTTCACCACCCTCAACACACGGACACACGGATGACGGAGGCCGACCAAAGGTTTCACTTTATGTGTATCAGGTTAAATTTTGTTTCCCACTTGGGTCTTACCTGCCTTAATGCCTGAGTTGCGGGTGTTTATGTTTATGGAAATGTTGTGTTATTTTTTGTTTTCTGTTATTTTCCTTGGTTTTCAGTTATATGCTGTTGTACATGGGGGAGGGGCTTCTACTCCCTAGTGATGGGACCAGCGTAGGGCGCAGATGTGGGGGGGTAGACTTTCCGCCCCTGGGACATCAGGTACCTCATGTGAGATTGAGTCCCGGATCACTGACCGACGTGGAGTACGCTTTACTCCTGGGGTGGGGGGTGTCCGGACCCGATCTGCGTCCTGTGCTGTTCCGCTAATGGGAGAGGGCTGTGCATCTCCTCACACGGTTCTATACCGATTATTGTAGATCTATTCGTATTTACACAGGTTGTCTAACCACCCCCACGTAGGACTACCCCGTGCGCTAAGCTACGGGTTGCTATACTTGTTATTGACCTGTACCAGTAGTCTGGTCAGAATTTATACACATTTACTATATGTATTTCAAATGTGATCAATTGTCCTTGTGTGCCACGTAAAATTAATCTGATATTTCCTAATACACCATCTACAAGTACTCACAGATCCTCCTACCATACACCGGTAAGATGATGTTATAATTTTTCTTTCAAATCTTTTCAGAAAGTGGATGAATACCTAGTACATTCTGATCTTGATCAAAGCCATTTTCAAAAGCATTATATTTCTCATTGATCCAGCATGTACAAAACATAAGGGGTGTTTACAGGGTAAAAATATTTATTATATCACATATATAAAAACAGTTGCACTTACACAGTTAAAATTGAATGTCAGCATTGCAATATCAACTCACTTTCCAGAAAGAGAAGAGAAAGGATCCAGCAAGGTATACAGCATCAACATTTTCCACTCGATGCATTTAGTCTTTTGCAACTTTTTCAAGAGTGCCTGTTGATTCTAATAGATCTCTAATTATATCATAAGGGTTCCCCATCAGATTTCAAAGAAGAGTTATAACATCAATCCTACCTGTGTATGGTGTACAAGATTACCCTGGAATATCTACCCTTGGGGGAAAGCGTGTTTTGACCTTTGTATGATTTGTATGAGTGGTGTATTGACCCCTAGACCAAAACAAGCAGTTAACCCTGGCAGTGGAGGGGTAGACTCACGGCAACGGTTAATTTTTTACTAGCTGGAGTTCCTCTTTAAAGGAAGTTGAAAAATAACAGAGTCACTGACCGGATCACAAGGTGAAAAGAAAAAAAGCCTAAACAATATATATATATGTATATACTGAGTGGCCAGATTATTATGACCACCTGAAGTTTATAGGCTAATTAGGTATAATTTCGCGCTGAAGTTGCTAGAGGGCCAGATGGCCCAACAAAGTCATCTTGTGGAGCCATCTCGTGGCCCAACGAAGTACTGATGGGTGGTCATAATAATCTGGCCACTCAGTGTATATATATATAAAATGTTTGCTTTTGGGTTTAGATACGCTCAAAATTAAAATGTATTGATGTATATACATAATATTACATATGAACACTGAAAGTCCTGAAAACATGTATTTTGCACCATCTTTAATGTCAGCTTTGTATAGTACATATTAATAAAAAGTTATTAAGATTTATGCTGACGTTGATGTTTTCACAAATGTGTCTTTTTTAATCTTCCCTGTAAAATGTGGAGAAGGTACACATAGAAACAAAAGCTAAAAGAAACAATAACTTACTGTGAACTTTATTTATTAGCAAAACAATAACAAAATCCTCCTGCCACCTACCAAACCCCTTGTTCACTTCCTATAGGATGTAGTTATAATGAATGTTACAGATCCACCTTCCTCTAAGTGGATTTGGCCTTCCTAAAACTCAATTAATAATTGCTTCTCTCCCTTGTTTTATTATGTGTTAATTATGACAGATTTTCCTGCTTTTAACACAGCAACTGACTTTTCCACCAAGCACAATTAGGAAATCCCTATAAACTGCATCTGGAAAGATTCTATATTTAGTAGAACGTCACAAACAAAACGTTGCTTAGTAAATGAATGAGCTGCCACATCCTTCCAGTGTACATTGATATCAGCCTGTATTGAAGGGCTGCATGCTGCAGCTCGTTTTATGCATTTTCATAACATGGTACATCAGGAAGGGTTTATTTTGCTCTTTTATAAAGAAATTATTTCCATAAAATAATTTGAATTAAAAATATATATTTTTTTAATTCTAGTATGTATTTCGGTCACAGATGATCACACTTATATACTGCCCATGATTGTACAAACGTGTTCCAAAACTGACCATATTACTAAAATCTAAACCAGTTTTGCCATGCCCTGCCCAGGATTAAGAGAAATCAAAAGGGTACCGCCAGAAAAGGGACATTTGGAACCTCTCCAACACCCCTTTCCCACTCTCAGACCCCAACCTGGTCAGTTTCACAATCACCCTGTCCCCAACAAGGACTCCCCCTACACCGCACACTGTCACCCGGAGAAACCTCCGCCACCTCGACCCTTCTCTTCTTCACTCTGCTACTAACTCCCTCTATGACAAGATTTCACCCCTGTCCTGCCCTGACCTGGCTACTTCTGTTTTTAAAAGCTCACTCTCATCCTCTCTAGACACTTTGGCCCCCTTCACAACACTCAGACTTAGACCGCATCCGCTTCAACCGTGGCAGACTAAAGTTACCAGACCTCAAAAAAGACATAGCCGCACTCTTGAACGACTGTGGTGGCAAACTAGGTCTCTGCAAGACTTCACCCTGTACAAAGCTGCCCTCCTAAAATATAATTCCTCCCTACGTGCTGCCAAACAAACGTATTTTGTCACTCTCATTAACACACTCTCATCCAGACGTCGTCAACTCTTTTCTACCTTCAAGTCTTTACTATGTCCTCCACCACCACCACCCACTAACTCACTCACTGCCCAGGACATTGCCACTCATTTCAAAAACAAAATAGATACAATTCGGGATCAGATCGCCACTGTCCAATCAACTTCCCCTATTAATTTACCAGACCCCCATCACACTTGTTACTTTCCTCTTTTGACCCTGTCACCACAGAGGAGGTTACAAAGCTCCTCTCTGACACCCACCTCACCACTTTCACTCTCTACTGGCATCTTTCCTTCCCCTCTCAAACATGCACTAGTCACCCCAATACCCAAAAAAACCTTCACTGGACCCTACCTACCTCAATAATTTCAGACCTATCTCCTTACTCCCATTCACCTCTAAACTACTAGAACGCCTTATCTACAACCGCCTGAGTTGCCACCTCGCTAATAACAACCTTTTGGACCCCTTTCAGTCTGGCTTTTGCCCCATACACTCCACTGAAACTGCCCTCCTAAAACTCACCAATGACCTAATAAAAGCTAAAAACAACGACCACTATTCCTTACTCTTGCTATTAGACCTCTCTGCTGCTTTTGACACTGTTGACCACCTGCTGCTCTTAAAAAAACTCCACTCGCTTGGCCTACAAGACCCTGTTATCTCGTGGTTCTCCTCCTACCTAGCTATGCGCTCCTTTTAGTGTCACCTACAATTCTAACTCCTCCCCTCCTCTTCCTCTTTCTGTAGGGGTCCCCCAGGGCTCAGTCCTTGGACCCCTTCTCTTCTCTATCTACAACTCTTCTCTTGGTCAGTTAATAACCTCACATGGCTTCCAATGCCATCTCTATGCTGATGACACTCAAATTTATCTTTCCACTCCACAACTCTCCCCCTCAGTGTGCTTGCATGTCACTAATCTACTAACTGACATATCAGCCTGGATGTCACAACACTTCTTAAAACTCAACCTTTCAAAAACTGAGCTCTTGATACTTCCTCCTGCCCGTGCACCTTCCCCCAACATTTCAGTTGAGATTGATTACACGACTTTCCAGCCCTCCCCTCATGCCAAGGTCCTAGGTGTCATCCCTGACTCGGACCTCACCTTTCTTCCCCATATCCAATCCCTATCCAAATCCTGCCGCCTTCACCTTCGTAACATCTCCAAAATACGCCCCTTCCTTGCCAATGAAACCGCAAAACTACTCATACACTCCCTTGTTATCTCTCGTCTTGACTATTGTAACTCCCTCCTCATTGGCCTTCCACTACATAGGATATCCCCCCTTCAGTCTATCATGAATACAGCTGCTAGACTCATTCACTTGACCAACCGCTCCGTGTCTGCAACCCCCCTCTGTCAATCCCTACACTGGCTTCCACTCACCCAGAGGATAAAATTCAAAATATTACAGTCACTTATAAAGCCATCCACAACTCTGCCCCCGGATATATCTCAGACCTTGTCTCAAAATAACACCCTAACCGTCCACTCCGCTCTTCCCTAGAACTCCTGCTTTCCAGCTCCCTAGTCAACTCCTCCCATACTCGCCTCCAGGACTTCTCTAGAGTCTCTCCCATCCTCTGGAACTCTTTACCCCAACCCATCCGTCTATCTCCCACCTTGACTGCCTTCAGGCGTTCCCTAAAGACTCATCTCTTCAGGGAAGCCTATCCCACCTCAACCTAACTACTGAACCGTCACATTCTCAAATAATTCATCCCCACACAGCTACCTCCTCATGTATCATTTCCCACTCCTCTTTTAGATTGCCCTGAGGGGCAGGGCCCTCTTTACCATCTTGTCTTGAATTGTATTGTGATTGTAACGTCTTCCTTATATTGTAAAGCCCTGCACACACTGTTGGCGCTATATAAATACTATGTAATAATAAAAATTATTTGGGAGGTATGTTTTAGCCCTGTTCACAGGGGCTTTTTCTTGTATAAAAACAGGGTGCAGAGAACAGCTTTGCAGCTTCAAGCAGTTTTGTTAAAGACTTTAAAGTGACCCTGTCACACAAGGTCAACAAAACTAATTGCAATACCTGCAGAAAAGAGAGGCTTTATACTAACCTTTCTGACAGCCCATATCTTGAAATGTTGTTGCAATACTGCACCCTGGCTACTGCAAAATGTCAACCCTTGCCTGTTTGTGTATTGCTGCTTCCCCCACCATAAGCAGTGGTTCCTTCCACCGGCTCATACATCACTACAGGAGGAACTACGATTTGCAATTAGGAAAACAGGTATTTGACTGGCATTTGGACAGTAAAATACTTGTGATAACTGGTGTGCTTCATTGTGATGGTGGTTCAAGACATATGCTTCCAGAAATGCAAGTATATAGCCTAGTTTTTCTGCAGATATTGCTTTTTGTTGTTTTGGCAGGGTTATTTTAAAACACTCTTCAGTTCCAGTTTGGGGAAGTTAAACACAGATCTTAATAGGAGTGCTGGCTGTCATGTTAAACAAACTATTGGCTTTAATAGAAATCAGCAGTAAATTAAGGCCCAGCTGAAGCCAGTTAGCAGCCTGCTGAGTCAGCACTCTTTTGTTTACCATGTCCATACCGGAACTGAATTTTATTTAAAGGCTTCCACAAACCTGCTTCAAGTTCTTCAGAAGCTTTGTGTTCCGTCCCCACTACATGTTACCCTGTGGCCTGTATAGCTGGACATTCAGCTAAACCCACCTATCCTGCAATAAGCCAGACTGAGTGAAATCTTGATGCTTTAGTTTCGCCCCACAAAACAGTGTGGGGCGCAACTAGTGAATAAACAGAGAAACATACAATCAGTATGCAA